ACAAACATCTGCCCCCACCGGGATCCGAACCCGGGACCTCTCGAGTCGGTGACGCCATGAAACCCGGCGTATAAACCACTCGGCCACGGAGGTCGTCATGATTAAAGATAAGATATGTTTGAATTCTGCACAGATTCAGCAAGATACCCCCTGCAATACCTAAATATATACAATTTGACATCTTATAATAAAACATTTCCAATGATGCATATTAATTCGTTATCCACCAGAACCACACTGATTCAGAGATCCTTAGATTTCGTTAATTTACTCGAATAATATTCGTCAAGGTCATCGACGTGTTATTAAACTCGCTATAAATTCCATAAACAATGTGAATTCAAAAGATAACGACTCAATAAGATTATATCGATTAAGTACTTCAAAGTATGGATTGTAAAGCTGCATGCTATTCACAGCCTGATTTAAAATTCGCGTCTTTAGTGTTTACGATGAAGTGATATCCGTATCTACTAGATAAAGATTTTATTGAAATACTCGTCCCAGTAGATTACCGACAATAATTAACTCAAAATCACTTATTCGGCTGACCAGCTTTCGAATTCTTGGGGGAGTCCAAAAGACACCAGGAACATTTTCTCTGAAATAAAAAATCCTCCAAATGAAGAACATTTCAAATATATTGGTCAAACTTTCAAACCTGAACCAAGAATAAACAAATCATCTGATTGCTTTGTTCAGCATGTAAAAACCACAGGTTTAGTGTGTTATCTCTGTTTTATTATGAAGTAACGTATCAGCAATACAGTACGTCGGTTCTGTACCGTGCTGTTCTCTAAGACCAAACTTACTTTTCACTACGGAATCCGCGTATAATTTGAAATTAGAATACAAATTTGTATACAAATTTCAAGTCCCTCTTCCAATTCCGCGGTGAAAAGTGAGTTTGTTGTTACAGAATGCATTGACTGGTAGTAGCTTGTGTTGTTACTATCGAATATTGGTATTGTAATTTTTTTGTATTTTTTTTTTATGTCTTTTACTATGCTTCAATAGTCATTGCAATGTATTTCCAAATAACAACATAATGAAAATTTAATATTTGTCTGATTGAAACTATAAAAGCTCGTTGTGAGATTTTATTTCAAGAGAATCATCATCGATGTAAAATCATCCACTATTTGAATTAACAACTTGACATTTGGACAAATTGGTTCTGTTGCGAGTATTTATTAGTCCAGGATCCCAGGATATTTTTTACCATTTATTACTATCAAGCTAAAACTTCTCGAGTGGCATCATTTCAATGAGATGCCCAACTTTTTCTCTTACATCAATTGGTACATATTTAAGAATCGTCAAATCCACTTTTTCTATCCCTGCTACCCCAAATAACTACCACAATGGAGAATTGATGTAAGAGAAAAAGTTGGACGTCTCATCGAAATGCAGCTACTCACGAAGTTTCAACTTAACAGTAATATATGGTAAATATTGTTGTTGAGATCCTGGACTATATCCTAACTATTGTCGTTACATAGATAGAAAAAAACTGCGCGAAAAAAGAATATTGTGCGTAAATGAATGCTACATTTTTGCATTTTTTCCTGGTGGTCAATCATTTTATTGGCAACTTAATCTATAATATTTCTCGGTTTAAAAGTTTAATATCTTAGAATATATATTATAATACAAATAAATATTATTTATGTGTTATGTCATAAAGAAGGGTTATGTATACCAATTCACAGATGATACATGTCTACTGGTTGCCAACAGGAACATAAATCTTGCACAAACCGATATGCAGGAAAGCTTTGATCAGTTATGTAAGGGCACACGATGTAGGATTGGTGATAAATAGGCAAAAACATACACTCATCGCAGAACAGGACACCTGACACACCGACCATCCTGGCTCACAGTCATCAATGCCTGCATAGTGATACGATGGTTTGCACATGTCCAACTTTAGAAGTATTAGAAAGTCAGATGTATATTGGTCTTATTATCGATCATAAATTCAACTGGGGAGCTCATAAAAATTATGTATGTTCAAAATTAAGGTCTATTCTAAGCAAATTTGCTTAAATAAAAGCCTCCATACAGAAACCTCACATTAATGTATACGGCCCTAGCTGACTCAGTGATTGGTTATGGCTTGAGCAGTTATGGTTTGACATATGACTAATATTTGAAGTATATATTTACAAATAAGAATTTCAAAATGTCATATCATAATTGTAAATATAAACTTAAGAAAGATTTGTTAAAGTGAATCACTGTAGACATGTAAACCCATGTTTAAGGGTTCTTAGATAAAGGCATTGTATATTATAATGAAATGATTTGATTGAATGAATAAATAAATAAATATATGTATATATTCGCTGAGACATAAATAAATCATATTATGAAAAATTACATCGTTAATATTCAACTTACATCAACTGTGTGCCAACTGATGTCAGCTTAGCTATATGTTTGCAAGTTTAGTACTCCATAGATGGATATAAAATATTTAAATTTAATGCACTGTGCTGACAGTCTGCAATGATATTTGATTTCGGCGGATTAGTTAACACAATGTTGACACCTGACACATTATTTGGACTTACATTGCGCTAATGCCCAAGGCAACATCAACTAGGCGTAATAAATTTAAGTAATAGATAATAAGGAACGAAAATTATAAAATGTATAAAAATCATAAATTTCTTAAGCTAAAACCAGTATTATCCTAAAAAAATATAAAACGAAAACACGGAAAAAAAGGATTGAAAGGAAATGTTTCAAACAAGGTCTATTCGGAACCACCTGTGTATTTATTCATTGTCTCTAGTCAACAATAGGCACTACATTCAACTATTAATAGATATGATATCTTAGCAAGATTTATAGACTAGTTCAGACGGGAAATACTCCAGTTAAATGCTTTATTATCATGAGTTATGTTTGCTAAACAATTGATTTAAATGTTATCCTTCGAGTTTAAATTACTTATTTTGAAAATTAAGAATAATATTGGCGGAACTAACGAACCACTTTATCTCAATAATTCATTTATTTCTAATATATTTTATTAAATCGTTTGACTTTCCTTTGTGCAATACATAAATAGGATGAAGTTTTAAGGTTAGGTACTCAAAGGACAAAGTACTCATCAAGCCAACAACCTGATGTTTACAGGTTGGCAAGGTATTTAAATATGAAAAAATATGTATCACTGATTAAATAAATAAATAAAAAAAAATACTATATGCACAAAACAATATTTAAAAATCCCTTTCCTCTCGTAATTCGGAAATAAGTATTTTCGTGGCTTTTTATAGACTAATTTGTCATCTGTTCTGCCTGTCAATCAATGTGATTGCAGTTACAGTAATTTAAATAGCAGACTTATATAACACCCGGATGAAATTCAGAATAATTTCACCCCGATCGGCTCATTCGATATTTAAACATATTCGCTTCACAATCGGAATGAAGTGGTAATACTTGAAAAAAATCAGTAACACACTACGTGAAATATTGTGCAATTTGAAACACTGACTTGGTAACCTCTCTTTCACTGTAATTGCTGGATCGATTCCCATGAGCACTTACTGAGGTGACGTTCCCACGCTATGCAAACGCATCACTAATAAGTCGCACAGTCCATACAAATTGTAATATTCTATATCTTAAGGTTTCTTTTACTAACAGAATATAATTAAAAAATTCAAGCGATCAATTGTTTTCTGTTTTGTTCAATAATAATCAGTCCAAGAACCTGGATTAGTCTTGGTGTGCTAGAACTATGAAATTAACATCTTAAAGCCATTGTAAAAACCCATAATACTAATTGCCTGAACTCTTTTCCATTATTATATAAAATCAGAATATAATAAAAAACTACTCGTTATTATTAGTAATTCTGAAGTACAAGTATTGACTAGTTGTTGTAGACTACATAAAGTCAAACAAGCCCTTACCCTAATTCCTATATAAGATATGATAGGTTTTATAAAATATTGTATGATCAATGATCTATTTAAATTTTGTAAGAAATCCTAAATAAGCGACTCTCAATATCAAAACCCCAATATAACATATTATCCTAATTATTCCTTTTTTGAGAAAAGAAAAGAAATACATCATCAAACAAAGGATAACGTCAGCTTGTAGTCGTGATATTGATGCTCTTCATCGATAGCCTAACAAGGCCAAAAGTCGAAATGCTGTAAACATTTTGAACAAGAACAAAAGACCTAGTTTAACATTAAGGCCACACAGTGACAGCATCAATAAACTTAGACTCGTTAGCAAAACTTCTTCAATATTACTTGAAGATCTGTCTTGAAATCCATCATAAAAGACACTGAAATCAGATGTGTTGGATAGAAATGTTTCCCATTAAAAAGTCTTAATAAGTTTAGCTGTACTAATATTCTTGGTCAAAGTACTAGACTTATTACTCGACAATAAGATAAGTATATGAGTAGTAGAGTAAAATAAAAACTGGATCTAATTGAGTATACGTTATTGTCAAATGAATTGTACCTATTGCTAAAGTTATATGTATAAAATATCGTGTCATATAGCATATCTAATAAATCTCGATGTGGATTGACGCTGCTAAAAATTCGAATCGATATAAAATTAGAACATGACTTGTAAAAATTATTTGTCTTAGGAAAAAAACTCTAAAATTATTTCTATAACTAGATAATGTCGTATTTTTATAAGTAGACAATTTAAGTCCAAACTGTCCGGAATATTCGAATGGCTTCACGACTCTAGCCTTTCAAGTGGAATGCCATTCCAAGTGGCAAGGATATCACGAAACGAGGGGAAAACCGCTCATAAAACGACAATCGACAATAAAGCTTCAAATAAATGTGTGAACTGTAACACGTCTTTAAATTACGCGACTGAGTCACTCAATTACAACAAATTAAGTAACCTAAAGTTATGTTTAGTAAGACGATAAAAATCAAAACTCCTAATAATGCTCCAGTGACGAGACGATCTGACAGTTTTTTTTTTATTTGTTTCAGATTGGTGTAGTGAACTAGTGTCAGTGCAGTGTCTTTTATTTTAACAATGAGAAGAAGCTCTCGCAGATAGACGATCCCACGCAGATTACATTATTATGCAAGCGCGACCGTAATACTGCCAGCCGTACTGTATATTGGCATAGCTAGTTGACATTTGCCGCCAATGCCGACTGAATAAGAAATGGCATTGGCGAATTTCACGCTGGCGGCCGCGAGCGCGGCGGCTCCGGCTCTGACGACTGCTGCTCCAGCTCCTCTACGCGTTGGCCTCGATGATCTCCTCTACTCTCCAGAACAGGCAGAATACCCACCTCAGCCAGGCAACGAGCCTTATTCCCCACCGGCCAACCAACAAAGAAGATCCAAACTAAGAAAGCGTGCGGGTGCGGCCTATCTCCCTCCTCCAAACCAATTCACCCATTACCCACACGACGACATCCCGCAGAATCCTTACAATGGCCAACTTCACACACAAGTGTACCAACAAAACGCTAGACTAGATGTACAGTTAGATACCCAGCGTGTTCAGGATATGAATTCACAGTTTGACAACACTGGACAATATATTCACGATCCTACTGGTGACTATGATTACGAGCAGAGGAGGGTAAATTCAAATGCACCCCGTCCGCCGTACAGTGGATTCACAAGTGCGCCTTACCCGGCTGCGACAACACCCCCTTCTAGTCGAAAGTTCGATGCAAGTTCTAGCCAAAATGTAAATAATTTCAATTACGCGAATAGAGCGTCGCCGACGGCACCACCTTCTAGAACGCAGGAAGCAGGCGTTAAAACTGGCAGTAGCGCTAACGCTGGAGGTGGTGGACAGCCTCCCGACCGACCCCGAGGATTCACGAAAGTAGAAACGGGGAGCTCCGGAGGCAAAACCCAACTTCACGCTGTATTAGACTACGATGATGACTACTACGACGACGTACCTTCGCCAGGTAAATATCATTACTTACAGTAATTTTATTGCTTGCATTTCGTCTAGTTAGGAAAGTAATCGCAGGATGAGTTTCCAGTTCTTTGTTTGTACTTGAGCATCTTAAACTTTTAATTACTTGCGTCAGATTTTATAAAAATAAACATCTACAATCAGGTCACATTATGCTATAGTATTTGCAAAACGTCAAGGTGGTCAGCTCACAATTAAATCCTGTTTGGAGTGCTAGCGATAACCGTTTAATAAAATAAATTGGTCGCCAACTACGTTGATAGTTATCTTTGAATTAGTGCACTATTAGGTAGCGCTGTAAACGCTAACCACAAGCAATTATTATTGACATAGACTTCACCACAAGTACTTACGTGAGACAAGTACGAGATAAATTTAAAGCCTAAAATTAATAAAGTACAAACCAGCTTAAATGAAAATAGTAGAGAGTAAACAAAGTTATTTTCTACCGTTGTTTTTTAAGATTTTAATTCAATGAGTTGCTGAAAAAAAAACTTCCACTTTTTTGTTTCTACCATAAATACAATTGGGAAAATGCGGAAATAGATAAAATTGTCGAGCCCAAAAAATCAGCATCCCTAATCGCTAAAGCTTACTACTTGGTCAGGAAGGCCTTCGATTAGTTTAGCGCCGCAGCCCAATGCCACGCGAACAATGGCCAGTCTACCGTAGACATTGATACATGAACATAATGCCATCGATCGTTGTCCTACACCTCGAGCGCAACTAGACAATATTTCTGCAGTATATGGTTATTTAGATCATCTTAAAAATTAACTTTCTAAATAAGTATAAGAGGCTTACCATTTTAAATATTTAACTAATTCATATTCTCAATAAAAGCACTGCAAATATGTATGTTTATTTAATTATAGACTCGTATATATCATAAATTACTATGTAAATATATAAAAACTAAGTATCATCATCTGTTTCCAGCGCATCGTGATCCTCCATGATCGGAAGTACTAATAAAGATTGCAATCTTAACATTAAAATGTTTTTATGCTCCAATTTGACGTGCACTGTTTTAGTCAATGTCAACGTGTCAGGTTTTAAAAGGAATTACTCTATTTTTATATGCTTTACTGTTTTTGGAGCTTAGTTTAAAAAAAAATTAAGACATCTTCATTTTATATGTTCTACTGCGTTTGAAACAACAAAAAAATTAACACATCCGAATTGTATTTGTTTGTACCGCGTTTCTACGATTTGATGAGTGTTTTAAAGCGTTATTCCAATGTTTCATTTTGAGCTTTTATTAATAGTTGAGGGACAAGTAAAAGCAAAAAATCTGAAACTAGATCATAAAATTTATTCTTATGTAGACTATATGAAAGATCTTTATCTGAATAATTTCAATCGTGTTCGAGTTCATTTCACATTGAGTAATTTTTCTGAGAAAATTTTCGTAGCACAAACCATTATTATTGTCGAGTTTAGAAGAACTTTTCGATTAGTCGAACCTTAGGTTAATTATTTAAAATTTTCATTTTCTCAAAAAACTAGAACTGGACTCGTAAATAGTTATAACTTTATGCATTTATATCTTTATCAACAGAATAGTAAAACATCATGTAGAATTGAACAGGATCATTCATTGAAATTATAGCGGCTATAAATATGATGTATCAATCAGTGGTAACAAAACTTGAATTAATTGAGATAACATATTTGAAATGCCAATAATTTTAAATAACATCTGAAGTTCAGAACATGACACAAACTGTTTGAGAATAAGTACCTAGTCAATATCCCAGCTATGGTAAATTGGATTTTCTTTACTGCCGCATACCACACAGTATCCAACAAGGACGTCTGTAAAACAAACGAAACGAAATGCTGATTCGAAAACGGCAGTTACCTAATACAAAGCCAGTTTGTGGCAGCACATATTATGGCCATTAGCATTTATGAAGTTGGCTGCAAATCTCCACGTTTACATCTTCACATCACTGCGACCTTGGTTTCACTTTCAAATTCTATATTGTCACGAATGCGTGGAAGCCCCTTAAAATATTTTTCACTGCATCTTCTCTGCCGTATATTGTAGTTTTCAAATGCATTATTGTATTTCACATTTCAAAAATATATGCTTTTTTCTTTCTTTATATCAATAGTGTTATTCTCATTTCATTACAAAACCATCTTTTTAGAGTTCCGTACCTCAAAAGGAAAAAACGGAACCGTTATAGGTTCACTTTGTTGTCCTTCCGTCCGTCTGTCAAGACTGTTTTTCTCAGGAACGCGTGTAGGTATCAAATTGAAATTAATATCTAATACTCAGGTCAACTGTCTCTTGGAGCTGTGAAAAATTCAAACTTCTAAGCCAAAGCAATCAAAAGATACAGCTGTTTATGCAGCACCGCAAATTTTCGAAACTCGCACGTTAATCAAAACCTACAGGGTACTTCCCGTGAACTTAGGATCTTGAAATTTGGTACGAAGTAACGTCTTATAGTACAGATTAAGGAAAAAAAGTCGGGTTTTTTTTTGTTAAGAGTGTGGCAAACCAGCACCATAACCTATAGACGCTTGCGATACAAAAATATCACTCGCTGTGGAATCCGGATAGTTCACACTACATATTATCGAACCACCTACAACAAATCTGGAGACATAGCAATTCCCTAAATTTTATGAGAACTAAGTGCCGTAAAATGGGCTTACATTTGGTATAATATGCTTAAGGGTTACATTGATCAATTTTAAAATTCAAATACTTATAACACCTTAAATACGATTACAAAAACTATGAAAAAAAACTAGAGTGACGACTTAGCCTGCAGATTGGTTAGTAAACCATAAAAAAAACTTTTTAATGAAAAATAAAAACATCCACATGTTAATTTGACTTTAAATGTAGATTATAAGTAAAAAATATGCATTATTAGTGGTTTTCTTTTGTGGTGAAGTCGGTTTTCATTATTTGCTAAAAAGTTTTTATTTTTCTCTCTCTCTCTCAACCCAGGTCATAAACTATATGCTTACAAAATTTCAACAATATCCGTTCAGTATTTTTTGCGTGATAGAGTAACAAACATACAAACTTTCACATTTATAATATTAGTGTAGAACTATGCGGTTGTGCACCATCTTCAAACCAATAAATGTAAAAAATAATTATTGACAGTCTTTGATATAATCAGTACAAGTTGTATGAACGTGAAAGCAGTTGCAAATTAAATCTTAGGGCGAATTTAATAATTATTAATCATCTATCAAAGTAGCCCCAAAGAACATACAATCATTAGAATTTTTTATTCATTCGACAGAAAAAAAGTATTGTTTGTAGTCCAAAGAAACCATACAGCTAGTTTAACAAAGTTAAAAAACTGTAATTATAATATACTTATACTTGCATAATTGAAATTTTGAACAACTTAATTTAATAGGTATTTATACTACGACCTTAATTTTTTTTATTATAAATAGAATAACAACAGGAACTTCCTACAAAAGATAGCTATGCTACCAATACAAAATAAAACAAAACAATGCGTTCAGAAACATTCGAGTTTTTAATGATAATTCAAGTTATCATCAAAGACGCCCTGGATTTGGAAATCGCCCCATTTAGATATGATGATATTCAAACATTTTTTAGATATCTCATAAAAAGTATTATGTAATATATAAAAGCTACCAAATTTTCAAGATTACTTTAATGTTACTTATATAATTCCCAAGAAGCCGTCGCAATGTATTTTTAAATAAAATTAATATATATATGTACATATTTAAGACAGAAATGCAGAATTGAATCAAATGTTCGTGAGCCTTATTAGAAAACGCACGAAGCTTCAAGAAAGAGGTCAGACATTCTCTATGAACTAAACGCAGCGCGATTGATGATTTTGATCCCAAACCATCACCTTACAATCAAATTACAACACCAGATATTAAATTAGCAGTCTATCGAGTTGGAATTACAAACGTGACCTTGACCCCGTTCGAAGAAAGCGTCATGAACTTGCGAACGGTACTTATCATAAGGCCCATCGTAAAACCCAGACTTTCCGTTGCACAGTCTACAACAAATTCTTTATAAGCAAACGCGTAAAGTTGAACTACTCCGCTTATAAAACCTACAAGCTTCATTCTATCTTAGACATATGTAGATAAATTAATAAATAATTCTAATACACACACCAATTAGCCTAGCCCCAAAGTAAGCACTGTAAGGCTTGTGTTATGGGATACTAGGGTAACGGATAGAATAAATACTAATACATAGATATGTATATTTTTATTTAGAATTACATATAAACATCAATGACTTAGGTACAAATGCTCGTATTCGTCACGCAAACATTTGCCCCACCGGCATTGGAATCCAGGATCTCTCCGTAGCCGCCGATTTACCACTCGAGCCACGGCGGTCGTCTGATGCTTCTTTAGATACAGATCATGTCGAGTAAAGCTCGTATAAAGTTTCCTTGTCTGTGATGGGCCTTAACATTGCATCATCGACAACTTAATTCTTTATTAGACCCTAAGTTTTATATTATATAGTTCTTATTGCATTACTCGTAGAATTCATAATCGCTTAAAAGCTCGAATCGAAGCGTAAAACCTGCAACAGATCAACCACTTTCGATTTCATAGCGCTTATTAACACTTTCGTTCTACAGAACTATGACGCAGCGTTCGACGCGACGCTTAGTTAAACTTTACGGTAGACACTTTATTAATATGGAAATACTACTCATATATTTATAATTTTTTAATATATATTTGGCCAATGCCATAGATGAAGCGTTTAAATGGTTCATCAGTGGCTGTTTTTGTAGTGCTTGCTGTAGACTGAAAGTGTCTTCTGACAATTAGTGTACTTTTATAACATTGTCTGTATGTGTGTCAAAACGCTTGGTTGTCTGATTAATATTATTTTCGTTAATAATAAAGTAATTATATGTAACAATATTTATGCAAAAAACACGACACACCTCTGTGAACAAAATGTGCTTACCTTTATGGTACATTTGT